AATCATAGAAACGTAAATATTAATGAGTAAAAAACGTAATAAATGTGCTATTATCAGTATAAGTCTTACTCAAACCCCTTCTGTTAAACTCGACAAAGATAACTATCTTCTATGGAAGAACATGATTTTTCCCATCATCCGAGGTCACAATCTGGAAGGATACTGAGAACTAAGGCGTGTCCATCAGAATTTATCAGCATTCAAGTCACTAGAGAATCAGGAATTAGTGTAGATATGACATCTAATCCGAAATTCAATTAATGGAAATATGTTGATCAATTGCTCATGGGATGGCTCTATGCAACAATGACTTAAGAAATTGCACTGAGTAATGGGGTCAACAAGCTCTCATCAATTATAGACTGCTATCAATGCTAGCTATGGCATTTAAAATAAATCGAGAATTATTTTTCTCATTGGTGAACTTCACAAAACCGGAAAAGATAACCTGAACATTGATCAACACTTAAGCAAGATAAAACTTCTTGCTAGTAATCTCGAAGTTGCTGGAAAAGCTATACCATTTCCTGATTTGATAACTCAAGTTCTGGCTGGTCTAGACGAAGAATACATGCCCATTGTTTTACAAATCAATAGCAAGGATTCTATATCTTGGGAGGAACTTCAATCTACTCTCATGACGTTTGAGAGCAGGCTTGATCACATTAAAGCCATTGAGAATGAAATGGCAGGTATCAATCTGAGTCAATCGTCTGCAAATTTCACTTAAAAGGCCTTCAACAATAACTACTCTGGCAGAAACTACAACTCCTATAATGGTGGAAGATCACAATATAGTGGTAACTATAGAGGTGGTAGAAGAGGAGGCAGGAACAGAAACAGAACTAATTTCCTATCTACATGTCAAGTATGTGGAAAGGTTGGACATAAGGCAAATATCTATAACTGTAGATATGATAAGAGCTATAATGAACCTGCTGCAACTCATCAGAACAACTTCAAAAATCACACCTCATCAGCCTTTGTTCTAGGGTGGTTTGCTGATATAGGAGCCAGCAATCATGTCACCTCAAATGCAGAACATTTCAGTCAAGCCAGTAAGTACTCTAGTAAAGAGAGAATTATGGTTGGCAATTGAAGCAAACTTAACATTTCACACATAGGTACAACAAAAATACCAACTATGACTGTTAAACATATGGTTTTAGATAAACTCTACATGTGCCGGAGATTAAGAAAAATCTTAAAAGTGTTTCACAACTCACCTTTGATAATCATGTGTTTATGGAATTTCATTCTAACTATTGTTCTGTTAAGGACAAATCAACGAGGAAAACGATGCTGCAAGGAAGGCTTAAAGAAGGATTGTATCAGCTGGAACCACCAAACACCTATCCTAACTCTCAGTCAAGGTCTCAAAATTTGTTACATCAGAATAATCTCTGCAATTCAGTGTGTCTAGTTGAGTCTAGTAAAGTCATGAGTCATGAGTCCCTAAATCCCTTGTTTGATGTTTGGCACAGAAGACTCGAACACCCATCTAGTCAGGTGTTGTCCCAAGTCCTCAAAGATTGTAATTAGAATTTCAAAGTAAATGACTCAAGTCTTTTTGTGATGCCTGTCAATATGGAAAATCCCATCTATTACCCTTCAACACATCAAACTCACATGCCAAAGTTCTTCTAGAACTCATTTATACAGATGTGCGGGGACACTTACCCATTTTCTCAACCTCTGGCTTTAAATATTACATAGCATTCGTTGATGATTTCAGTAGATATACCTGGATATATCCAATGAAAAACAAATTTGACTCCTTGAATATCTTCATTCAATTTCAAAAGCTAGTTGAAAATAAATTTGACAGAAAAATCAAAATCCTTCAATCTGATTGTGGAGGAGAATATAGAAGCTTTTCCAATTGCCTTTCACAATCAGGAATTGAGTTCAGAAATCTGTAACTACACATATGAGCACAAAACGGAAGGGTTGAAAGAAAATACCTTCACATCACAGAAACAGGCCTAACTTTACTAGCTCAAGCCAAAATGCCTTTAAGATACTAGTGTGAAACATTTCAAACTGCTACTTTTCTTATAAATAGAATGCCCTCACGTGTACTTCAAATGAAATCTCCTTACCAGGTTCTGCACAACAAAATGACTGACTACACATTCATAAAAACCTTTGGATGCACATGCTATCCTTGCTTAAGACCTTACCAAAGACACAAATTCAGCTTCCACTTAGTCCAATGTGTTTTCCTAGGCTACAGCTCATCCCATAAAGGCTACAAGTGCCTCAGTCCTACTGGCAAAATATATATATCTAGACACGTAGTCTTCAATGAGTCTGAATTTCCTTTCGAGTCAAACTTCCTTACCAAATCAAAATCCACCGAACAAACCGTGGTATCCTACTCTCAGTGACCATCTCAATACTTCAACTCTTTTACTAAAAATAACTCGGTTGATGCAATTCCTTCTGAAGTTGCACCATCGGTAGAGTTACCTCCTGATAAGTTTAACACTACAACTGAAAAAGAAACTTTCAATATCCAATCTAAATCCGAGACAAATGGTGAATAAACTGACAATGAAGATGCTGAAGTAAAAGATCAAAATATCAGTGAAGTCCAAGCCCCATCAGAAAACGACAATGAAAGGAAGAGAACATGCCACTCCATGATAACAAGAGCAAATGCTTGGTATCTTCAAACCTAAAGCCTTCTCTGGTCAGGCAATACAAGATAAATCAAGTGGAACTGAGCCCAAAAATCTTGTTGAGGCCTGGAAAGATGAGAATTGGAAGAAAGCTATGATTGAAGAATACAATGCAGTGGTTAAGAATAAAACATGGAGGTTAGTGCCTTCATCTTTATCCTACAACATAGTGGGAAACAAATGGGTGTTCAGATTGTAACAAAATTCAGATGGATCATTCCAAAGATTCAAAGCAAGGTTAGTTGCAAAGGGTTTTCATCAAACTCTAGGGATCGGTTTCCATGAAACCTTCAGTCCAGTTTTGAAAAAACCTACATTGAGAATCATACCCACTCTAGCAGTCTCAAAGGATTGGAAAATAAGGCAAGTGGATATTGATAATGCATTTCTTAATGGGAAATTGGAGAAAACCGTTTATATGAGCCAACCAGAATGCTTAATTGATAATACAAAGCTAAATCATATCTGCAAACTTCATAAGGCTTTGTATGGACTCAAGCAAGCACCAAGGACTTGGTATGACAAATTGAAAAACACCTTAATTGACTGGAAGTTTAATCAATCAATAGCGGATTTTTCCTTATTCTATCTCACTACAGCAAAGGATATCATCTTCATACTTATCTATGTGGATGATGTAATAATCACTGGTAACAATAGTGACCTGCTACAGAGATTAATAAATGAACTACACATGAAATTTGCACTCAAGGATATGGGTGAGCTTCATCACTTCCTAGGTATAGAAGTTCACAGGCACAATGCAGGGATTCACTTAGCTTAATCACAATATAGATCCGAATTGCTCAAGAAATTTGACCTTTAGAACATCAAATCATGCCCTACTCCTAGTGCTGTTGGGAAAACAATATCTAAACCCGAAGGTGAGCCCTTAAAGAATCCATCAATCTAAAATCGAAGGTGAGCCCTTTACTATATCATTGATGGAACTCTATGTGAGCCAAAGGATCCCAATGATCTATTGATGAAACATTGGTTTAGATGCAATAATATAGTCAGAACATGGATGTAGAATGCCATGACAATCGACATCAAGACTCCATTGATCTGATCTTCCACATCCTAAATGTCTTCTTCGCCGCGAAGCGGAAAGCTTGCTCGGCAAGCGCAGCTGCACAGCAAGGAGCTTACTCGACAATCGCCAATACACGACACTAATGCGCAACGACAACTACGTACAGTGGCATGAACACCGCTGTAGCAACATCGCTCAATATACTGCATCGACATCATCGTCGTAGTGGCGCTCCTTCTTTTCGGTTGTTGAGGAAGAGAGAGAGAAGAGAGAAATTATTTAGGGTTTGAGGGGTGGATAAGATGGATAGATAGATTGATTTAGTTTTATAATATTATTATTTAAAATTAAAAATTAATTTATCATCTTTGGGTTGGGTTGGTTAAATATGTGTATTAATTTAATTTTATAATATAGTTACTAATATTAAATTTTTGGATTATTATTTGATTTTTGAATAAAAAACTTGTAAATCTTATTTTTGAATTGTGAGGTTTAAATGTCTCAATAGATGTAATTTCCACTTCTTAAAAGTATAAGGCCATCTTTGATAGGATTTATTTTCCATTGAAATTGGAAATTATTTTTCATTTTTCAAGTTATTGCATGTTTGATTGGCCAAAAATTCAATGGAATTGGTTTTCCTTCTTAAGCCACATGTGACCCCTTTTTCTTGCTTTTCTTTGAATTGGTTTTCCCACCACTTTGGTGGAAAGATGGTTTTCTAGGCTACTTTTTTTTTTTTTGTGTGTGATAATTGAAACAAATTATATCTCCAATGGTAATAAATTATAACCCTTTATTGGACAATTTTCATGGAAAATAAAGTCAAATGAACACCAAAAGATCCAAAATTTCAACATTTTTCAAGTAGAAAATTATACCAATCAAACACAATTAATTGACAATTCTCAATAAAACAAATTCTAGGTCAATTATCTGAAATTCATTTTCTTTCCACCCAAATTCCATTCTTGTAATCAAACGGACCCTAAGTCTAAATTAAAAGTAACTTTCAAATTTGAAATTCTCAACTCTTAGTAACAGAATATCATTTTATCTTGTCAACGAGATACTCTTGACAGTAAGAGGTTCTCGTTCTTAAGTTAAAATTTTTTTTCCTTAACAATAGTTGAGAATATCTCGGCCAAGTTTTTATTTTATTTTCCCTCATTCTCTCAAAAGGTAAGATTTACTGTTGTTCGAACATAAACTTTGAGATCTAATTTGTTTTGATAATTTTCATTTCCTTAATATGCCACGCTATTTTTTTTTGGTTGATTTTCGTCGTTTTCTGCTGCGAATTCTACCGACTCAGTGAGAAGGTAAGATTTAAATACCTTTGGGTAAACTCAAAGGTTTGAAGGACAAATCGCCTGAAGCACAATTGACTTCGCGCTTCTTCGCTGTTAATTTCCTATCGAAGGCTCGCTTTTTTCCTCTGCAATCGTTTGACGAGCTAAGGGGAGATCCGTCTAAAGCACTTTCTTTTGCCCTAAAGTTCTAGCGACTGGTTTCGTCTATGTTCTCATGATCAATATAAGGAAAGTTTTCATTTTTCCACGATAAAAATTGTTTAAATCTCAAAATTTGTAAAGGGGCATCTTCAATAACAAATTACTTGTTCAAGATTTGGGTTTTCATTTGCTGGATGTGTTGGTTTTTCTCATTGTCTATAATAAAGTTGTTGGGTTTAATCTATAAGCAAGCTTCATTTGGTTAGGAATTTATTTTTGAAAATTATTGTGCAATTTTTGAAGTGAATACAATT